TCATGCTTGGCCCTGGTGTCCTGGGAAGCACTGGGAAGTGCCCAGTACCCAGGGAGCCCCAGGTACCTGATGTCTGGTTCCAGTGCCTGGTACCTGGGGAAGTGCCCGAGTGTCTGGGAGGAGCCCCCAGCTCCTGGGGGAGACCCCGGTGCCAGTGTCTGGTGTCAGTGCCCAGGACAGCAGGTGTCTGGGGATCTTCCAGTGCCAGATCCAGGGAGTTCCTGTTGCTGGTACCCGGAGTCGGTGCTCAAGAAGCCCCAAGAGCTGGTGTCAGGGGAGGCCTCGGTGCCAGGGCCCATTGGGGAGGCCCTGCTGTCACTGCCTGGAGCCCCAGCGCTGCTGCCAATGCCAAAGGAGCCCCTGGTGCCAGTGTCTGGAGCTGGTGCCGGTGCCAGTACCCGGATCCCTGCTGCCCAGGAGCCCCAGGGCTGCTTCCTGAGATCCCTGGTGCTGGTGCTGGAGCCCAGGCTACTCGGTGCCTGCAAGCCCCATGCCAGTACCTGTGAGCTGTGGGATACTTGGGATTCCTAGTGCTGGATACCAGGGAAGCCAGGAACCCTGGCACCTGGGATGCTCTGGATGCCTGGTGCTGGATTCCCAGTGCCCAGGATTCCCAGTGCCTGGAATGCCCGGTGCAAATATTCAGGATGCCCTGTGCTGGATACGTGGGATGCCCAGTGCAAATACCCGGAATGTCCGATATACCCGGTACCATATATCTGGGATGCCTGAGATGCCCATTGCCAGATATCTGGGATGCCCAGACCTGGATACCTGGGATACCCAGGATGCCCGTTACGAATACCTGACATGCCTGGGATCAGACACCTGGGATACTGAGGATACCCATCATACCCGTTGCCAGATAGTGGGGCTACCTGGGATGTCCCGTGCTGGATACGTGGGATACCCAGGATGCCCACGACACCTGGTGCCAGATACCCGGAATGCCTGGTGCCAAATACCCGGGACACCCAGTGCCGGATACTGGGGATACCCGGGACACCTCGTGCCAAATACTCAGGATGCCCAGTGCCAGATACCTGGGATATCCAGGATGCCCGTGACACCTGGTGCCAGATACCCGGGACACCTGGTGCCAAATACCCAGGACACCCAGTGCTGGATACTGGGGATACCTGGGATGCCCAGTACCAGATACCCAGGATACCCGGGACGCTCGGTGCTGGATACCCAGGATGCGTGGGGACACCCGGTGCCAAATAGATGGGACACCCAACGCCAGACACCCCGGATAGCCGGGACGACTGGTATCGGATTCCTGGGAGGCCCAGTGCTGGATACTGGGGATACCCTGGATACCCGGTGCCGGATACTGGGGATACCCGGGCTGCTCGGTTCTAAATACTCGGGACGCCCGGTGCCGGATACTGGGGATACTCGAGACACCCGGTTCCAAATACCTGGGATGTCCAGTGCCGGAAACCTGGGACACCTGGTGCCAGATACTGCAGATACCCGGGACGCCCGGTACCAGATACCTGGGATACCTGGGACACCCAGTGCCGGATACTGGGGATACCCAGGCTGCTGGGTTCTAAATACTCGGGATGCCCGGTGCCAGATACTGGGGATACTCGAGACACCTGGTTCCAAACACCCGGGATGTCCAGTGCTGGATACCTGGGACACCTGGTGCCGGATACTGCAGATACCCAGTACGCCCGGTAGCGGATACCTGGGATACCCAGAACACCCGGTGCTGGATACGGGGGATACGTGGGCCGCCCGGCACTGGATACCCAGGACACTCGGTGCCAGATACTGCAGATACCCGAGACGCCCGGTACCGGATACCTGGGATACCCGGGACACCCGGTGCTGGATACCGGGGATACCTGGCGCGCCCGGCAGCGGATCCCCCCTCCGG